TGTGGCTGGAGGAGTTCAGTACAGGCCAAATCCGTGGAAAATATGACAGTCTTTGCAGACTGAGGACCACAACCCATACATTTGGGTAAGGATTCACAGGTGCAGCGAAAGACTGGGTTCCTGTTGGGAGAGTGAGCTCTCTGCCAAGTATCAAGTCTCTGCATAAGAACACTAACAGTTGTGCTGTCATATCTGTGATGAGCTAAAGGCTAAATCTAAAACTATTTTTAAATTCAAATTTAAATCTACCTCTAAATATGAAGATCTGATGATCTAAAGCAAGACAAGATTGGTAAGAAGAGACGACTGGAACAACTAACATAGCCAAGAGTAGACAAACTCTCTTGAGTTTTAACCTCACAGGCTGATGTAAAAGAAAAAAGAAAGTTTTTTTCTCATCAAGGTAGCCCTCACTGTAGGGGTAGCAACTGAGATACCTATTACATAGCAATTATAACAACTGAGCTATATTGTAGACTCAAAGTTGAAACTTTAATCAGAATTTACTAGAGATGGCATTTATGTTCTTCAAAGAAGTGCACAATGCAAGACTATTAAAATGATATATTCCCTTGTAATAGTGCAATATCATATGTTTCAAAATTTCCACATTTTTTATAGGTATTCTAAAGTTTTACTAAAGGTCTTTAAAATATTTACTGGGTAGTATTTTGGTATTCTTCTGGCGGTAAAGACAGACATCTCAAATAAAAAGAATGACGTAAAAAGAAATTATACGGGTTACAAATGTAACTTCCAGGAAAATGAAGGCACTCCCTTCCTGCTCCCACTCCTCAGGCCTAAAAGACCTTAGAAAATAAATGCATAAAAATAGTTATATAGGATCAGCCCTGATTCTCTACCCGGTTCTGTATCCCATCTCTGGCAATAGTCATGCCCCAGATGTCACAGAAGATGGTGGAAGTCTTGAAGCCCCTAATAATCAAAGACAGTCCTCAGCCTTGAAGTATATAATTTTCTATCCTGTCCCCTTATTTTCTTTTTTAATTGGTCCTTTCAGTTTATAGCATTTTCCTGTATTTTCAGAAGGCTAGAGAAGAATGACTGAAGGAGGAAAAAAGCTTCTGCAATGAGTTGTTAAAATGGAAGTTACCACAGAACTGTAAAAAACTGGAGAACCGAAAGGTTTCCTAAATTGGGGGCTACATTATGTAGCAGAGGCACCATAAGCTGGACAGAAATTCGAGCACAGGAATAAGGCAGGCAGCCTGTAGGTGCAATTGAAAGCAGGCTTTGAAAACCTGAGACTCTCTGCAGGAGAAGGAGAAGGGGTTTGTTTCTCTGGGCATTGGATAAGGGTACACGATCTCCCAGAAATATGGCATCCACTGCTACTCCATATATAGGATTGTTTTCAGCCTGTACATATATGTATGCATATATAGGAAGATATATATACTCTCTTAAATATGCGTTGTACATTCAAGACACTGAACAATCAGCAACACATTTGCAGTTTATCACAAAAGTCAGTAACTGTTCCTGAGCTGGGAAAAAAGAGATTAAAGTCTTATTTAGGACCAAGTGAGAGTTCCCTGTGCATACAGATTTATGCAAGGCTTTCGGGGAATTTAGGGTTATCTTTAGCATTTCTGTTTTAATTTTGCATTCTAAAAAATATGTGACAATGATCAGAACTGGCAGCCAGGCTAGTAATTTGACATACGTTAAGGAGCGATGTGATAAAAGGAAAGCTCTGATGTCAAATGTTACAGAAATCTTGGTGTACTGCAGCTTATGAAATGAATCACAACTGTATTTGCAATTCATATTCCTTCAAGTCCTTCATGGAATGATACATTATTTTAACTGCATATAGCTGTTGAAAGCAAAGAAAATCCTATCTTCTCAACATGTTTTTGACCTGATCCTGAGATCCAATAGCTCAAGATAGCATTAGTACTTTCAAGAACCATTTAAAGAATTTCCTTGTGTAAAGGAAAATGTAACCTTGCGAATAACAAGTAAATTATGGAGTATTCATATTATGGGAGTAAAGCTTTTTTTGTATATCACTGTTCTCATAAACTAGGTACTTTGCTACATAAGCTACCCCTAACTATATAAAACCAGGAAAGATACATATAAACTGTTCCTCCATTTAACAGAATGGCACTTTGAAAGAAAACCATGCAAATAAAATAACTAATTATTGTGCTTTTCAGTGCCCCAGTTCAATAAAAAGCAGTCACACAAATCTTTTAAGATTTCAGAGTGGTTTGGTTGCTTTAAATGATGCATGTCTTGAAACTCAAATGAAGTAGTGATGCATTTTTAATTGCACAATTAAAATAATTTTTCATGGTTTCTAAATGGATTAGTTCTAAAATTACTCGTCTACTGAAAAAACATTTCTGCAGAGCAGTTATCCAATATCGCGTTTCTAGACAATGCCTTCTTTGTCATCTTGTCCTGTTTCTCGTCCTCCTTCAAATGTTTACTGAACACGGTTGCCTTTTTGAAACTATTCACTGAAAAGAATTTATCCTTCTCTTTAGTAAACATCAAACCCTTTCCCTTAGTAAACCTGCAGCAAAAGTCCCGTTATATATAAACAAAATTTAGCTCCAGTACACAATGCAACACTTGGGGTGTTTGAAATCAAGAACACATTCCATTTTTTGTGCCTTAAGTCTATTTATAACACAATTCTCTTGGAATAGAAGGAGATACAGTGTTTTTAGGAATTTATTGTAATTCAGACCTACAAATGGATGGAAGAACATGGCTGAAACTCAGCCTTGGAGAAATGGATAGGATTGATAAGCAGTTACTTCAGTTTATTTTCTGTAACAACTTTCTTCACCGAACAAGCTTTGTTTCACTTAGTGGAGCTTTTTTCCCTAAATTACACTAACAAAAGTTAACTCTGTGCTTTAAGAAAAGATTTACTATGATGTACACCTCTGATTTTTTTCCTATTTCAAAGCAAAAAAAGGGAGATTTTGTCTCCCTGATATATTAAGTCCAGTGCTCTCAGAGAAGAGTGTGTCTGAAGCACAGTGGCTAAACTCTTCTTCTGCCTGAAATCTATAGCGGCAAAAGGAAGATAGAACCTAGAAACTGGAATTTTGAATTTTCAGTGGTTCTGATATGAAAGAAAGCCTTACAAAAATTCTGGAAACTGGAAAACCGCCTCCCCCAAAATGTATTAGAAGGTCCGTCATCGTATGCTGTTTCAGAAATGAACTCTGTTCCTTGCTAGCCACAGTGACTGGGTGAAATTATTAGTGCCTACCCTGAAGCTACACATTTCTTGTGAGGAACACAGAGAGGGGTTGGTCTTTCAGAAGAAACCAGTTACTGCCAATCACATATAAATATATCAAAAAAAATACACTCACAGGTTAGCAGATTCAGCAAATTATTTATCTGATGATTGCTTTAGTTATATTTGTGTCCCTTATCTATTTCGATAGTGAGGTCTCCAGAACATAAATTACATTTTATTCTGTATCAATAAGGTATTCATGTAACGAGTGATCAACACTCACAATGACAAAATATAAAGTGAATGAAAACCAGTAAGTCAGTAAGAGGACTCCAGGGAATGCTGTTCCCCTTTGAATGCATGAGAAAGAAACAGCTTCATGAAAACTGGTACTTACAATCTAATAATGTGATTAAGATAGTGCTGCACAATATTTCTCAATGGTATGGTACTTGAACAAGTCTTTTCCCTCTGTTCTGCCCTGGTTTGACAAAAAGCTTGATGAAATATGTTGGAGCTTTCTGGCTGTCTCTTAAATGTACTGAAACTGGCCAGCAGGTTCAAAAGTTGCTGGCTGGATTACTGACAGAGGGACACAGCAGGATTTCCTTAGGAAGTCAGGTTAATCTGACTGTTTAAGAAAATATCCAAAGTAATTTACATTTTCTTTTCAATTTGCATTATATGAAACCAAATAAAATGCTTGCAGAACTGAGCCTTTTTTCATCCTTTACATTTTTGCTCCCCTCCTCCCGTTCCAGACAAATAGTTTCAATTTCCCTTCTGAGCTTATTTTTTCTCAGATTGTCAACTTGGCAGTTTCCTATCCAAACTAATCCTTCAAAAATCACATTAAAGATATTTCTTACTTATTTTCCTACATAAGTTGGTGAAACATTAAAATGCAGTTTCAATACATATTTCCTCTGCTCATTTTAGTTGTACTGTAAAAGGTTCCACAAGCAAAATTTCTTTTGGGCTGGAACAGCTGACTTTCCTGTCATAAAATGCTAAAATACGGTTCAATATATGCTGACTTACACTATTTTCGATATAAGATTAATTTTCAGGTAGCACTTAATCACAAGGGTATTTACCAAAATACGGAAAAATTAACTTTCTTCAGCCATGTTACTATCGTTATTTGTAGTTCCATGAACACTGTTCCTATAAACCTCTTTTGTTACAACCTTAATTACCTAATGGACAACATTGCCAAATGTTTCAGATTGTTTTAATTAAATTGAGTACAGGGGCACTTCCTTTTCGCCTACTCTATCATTATTTAGCCAAAGTACACACATTTAATACTGTCAGATTTCCATCATAAATAATTTCCCTCAGCCTTGCAATTTTATTTGTACTGTTGTTTGAATTTCCTTTAAATTCTTGAAATATTTCTACGTTTCTTCCCCGAACTAAATTTCATTTTCTGTGTATGACCTTGACAGCACAATACAGAAAAGGATTCTTACTTTTTTGTTAATGATGCAGTATCTGAGCCTCAATACCATTTTTAATTACTGTTGCAGCTCTGCCTTTTCATTGCCCTTAGCACTGTACTTCTTAATGTCTCAGTGTCCTCAGTCTTAAGAGAATTTTTTGCTACTATCTCTGTATGTCTGGAAGAGCCTTGTGTAGAGTTCATTTTTCCCCCAACATTAGATTTTCAAGACAGGTTGTCTAGTCCAGTCCTCTCACTTTTCTTTCTTTTTTTTTTTTGTGACAGAAGTAAGCAGATGAGAAGGGAGTCACAACTGCAACTTACCAAGAGTTCGAAAAGGTCTTTGGTTTGGGGTATGGGAGAAGAAACCAGGTTTCAAAGCATTTGTAATCACAATGTCAAAATACTCTTCAAAATCATTCCTAGAAAGTAAAGGAAATGGAATTAGCTAAACTAATGAAGTAGCTAAGATGCCACTAAATACTCTTTAAGACTTAAGAAAGTAATAAACCACTTTTTTTTTTTTTTTTCCCCAATGCTTGTTCAGTGTCACTACTGTGCTTCTTTTCCTGAGGTTGTCAAAAGTTAGAAGACAGCTGGCTGAGAACCCGCAGTGCTGTACCTTCAGGACCACTCATTATTTCTAAAAAGATGTTCCTTGGCCCAGGGAGTTTTTAAATCTCAGGAGAACATGTGACAGATGACATATCTTAATCTCAGGCGACAACATATGCATAGACAAGTATAGAAAGGTGCAAATGAGGGATTTTCTTTATAAAGCAAAACACATGAAGTCAAGTGATGGGGTAGGAAGTAACTGAAGACTAAAGACACTTAAGTGAAGGTTCTGACATTGTTGGTATCCATACTGTACGTATGCACAGGCCTAACAGGTGTCTAAGATGCCACTGTAGTCAACAGAGATCTAATTAATACAGCCAGTTAAGTGATTTCACATACCCTGAAGCTGAAATGCCATTCTGTTAGCTGAACTCTTTCTTCAGACTCCACTGGCTGCTCTGACTGAATCCCCGCTGGTTCCAGCGAGGTTAGACATGTGGCTCACAGATCAATACCTACCAACTAGAAGTCTTAATCTGCCACAAAATTCAGATTTTTCAAAGATCATTAGGTCAATGAAAATACAGATCAATATCTGAACTGTGCAAATCCCATCAATTTAAACAGGACTGTACATTTGAGCATGGTAGGTAAGTGGGACTTGGGTATTTTTGAGAGACCTGTATGCAAGCCAGTAACATTATAAAGCCAATAGGAAAAACAAGCAACCTGTCCTACTGTGAGATGGGCTATTTCTGGAGGTGCCAGTTATTCCTGCTCTAGCAAGGGTCGTCTTTATTTTAAGGAATCTATTAGACCTCACTTAATAAATCATCAAGCTGGGAACTATAGCAAGAAAGAATAGTAAAGCCTACCCACAAGCTTTGAAGTTACTAAACCATAAAATTAGAGAGATGTTGCTTAAAGAGTGGTTATTTTTCTCATTATTGGGAAATGTAAACATTTCCCATTTGTGACATGTATTTTATGTTAGTAGAAATGTTTCGTTGTTTAGGTGACTGTATTGCCTATAACGTCCAAAAAATGATGGATACTGTTGCATGGAACAAAGAAGTCCCAAATGGCAAGTTCAGGATGGGTACAGGCACGAAAATGTTATCAACAGAAAAAATTTACTGGAAGAAAAATAGCTAACTGTGCCATTTTCAAATAATTTACAATTTCCCACAAGACTGAGATATCTTAACTAAAAATCTGAATGCTCTCCCCATGAGCTTATCTTCAAGCTTTTATTTTGTGCTCTAAATTACATTCCAGCCTTAAAATAGCATGCCTTTAAATTTTCTTCTCCTACTGAAATTTTAGCTTTGTCTATTTTTTTTCCACTTGAGACCATATATAAACCTTGACTTTTTAAAAGAACCAGTATCAAATATGACAATGGCATGTTTTTAAAATTAGCTTCTGTGTGGAAGATTACAGAAGTTGAGCAAACAGGCATGGCACTTCTGTCCTTAGGTGAAAAGTATCGATAGTGTTAAACTTTTCAAATTAGGATATAGTGCAAACAATGCTTCCACGGGTAAGTTAAGCTTCAACTTTCAAAATGAAGCCAACATTTCAGAAGCACAACAAAGACTTGTGGGAACAGTGGTGAGTGCTTTGTGTAGAGAATTAACAGAGTTTTCACAAGATTCGGTTAACTTTTTATTGATTTATTGAAGAAAAAAATAGGTTTTGTGTGGAGAGGTGTTACCTATGGCCTTTTTTGAATCATACTAAATCTCATTTACAAAGCTACTGATTTTATGAAAGCCTGTACCTTGTGTTACATTACTATGTAACATTATACACGATAAAATGTGTTCCAGTTACTGCTTGTGCTTGTTATTGTGGCCTGTGGTTTCAGTAAATGGCCAAGACAAAGGGTAGGATGCATCTCACATAACTTTAGCCATCTAGAAATGGCACGCTGAATTCACAGCTAGTGGTCTACACCACAGACAGAGCCAACAGAGAAACATCCCCATTCTTAGAAGGCAATTCATCCCACTTAGTTCAGACATAATTCTATGGTACAGAACGAATTGCCAAGGAAGATGCCCAGTGTTTTCTCTCCATTAACCACAGAGGGAATCAAAATTACCAGCTTAAAAAAAATTCCTAGCTTTTAGATGGCTAACATTCATGAAAAGATGAAATTACATGCAGCTTCAGTGACTATGTGATGACTGACTCATCTTCAGGTGTGCTCCTGCCAACACTTGACACGCGTTCTCTGTGGTAGGTAAGCCTGAAAAGTCATATGATGTTGCTACTTGCGTGAATGAACTCGCACTTGTTTCTGTAGGTTTACATGCCTCATACCCAACTGGGATAGTTTGCTCTGATTTTATGTGGACAATAATTTCTTAGCCAGAAGGAACTTCTTAAATAAAGTGCAAAAAAGTTAACAGTTACAAGGTAAGGATATTAGGTGTAAGAGGCTAAAAATTTACACACATCTCCGCTTTTCATCTTTATCCTTAGGTTTTTTTTTTCAATGTAAAGCTATACATAGGGAAAGAAATTAATAAAGGACTACATAGATGTAATTCACAAGGCTTGATGTCAAGAAAAAAATGCAGTTGGCATGATCAAATTAAAAATAAGGGCAGAGATAACAGGTGTGAACCTAGACTATATTGCAGTATTGCAAAAAGCAGCATGGGTGTGTAGAGTCTTATTGTCTGATATAAGAGGCATGGAACAAACAAAAGCAATAAAAAGTTTAGAATTATTTTCAGGGAAAAAATACTTCAGTAAGGTCTAATGGACAGTGGAGTACTCAGTTCTCCCAAAGATGTCTTGGAAGCCACATTGCATGAGTCACTGGAAAATATGATTGTAATAAACACTGTAGAACATCCTACACTTATGTGGAAAGATGGAGTGATCCAGCACCCTTCTAGCTGAACAACTCTTTTCTGCCTTTTGGAAGGCAACCGGCCCTCTCTGCTACCTTGCCTTAAACAGCTGAAATGTGAATACAGTGAGGAAAAGAAAGCCAAAATCCTTATATGTGGCCAAGAATGTAGTTTTACAGCGAATTTTCATTCAGAAAACAACTAGACAGGTCTAGACACAAGAGTTAATTCACAGGCATCTTAGTCATAAGGAGAACTGCTTTTTGTGAGAAGGTGTATTTTCCCCTCAAATGAGCAAGTATAATGTTCATGCAAGGCAGTGAGAACTGGCACGGCTGATGCTTGATTTAGCATTTAGCCCAGGGAGTACAAAAGAGAAGTGATACTGGCAGTACTGGTTTTGGAAGGTAGCTCTGTTTTTCGCCTCACCTGTGGTTTTCTTACAGTGCTGCTGTATTCACTCTGCCGTTCCCTTGCATATCCAGATAGCCAAGGTTGGCTCACATTGCACTACTTTGTTTGATTCATTTATTGAATAGTCTCACCATGTCACCCACCTACCTATTTGCACCACTGATTAATTCGTTTCTAGGGGTGTAAGTAACTGTTCTGCTGAATTTAATCGAATTTGACTTGACCAGACATGTTCTTACCATTGCAGCTAAAAATAGCTGTTGCGATCAGCAACTGCAATCTCGACCACTTGCCAAGTGCAATGAACTACCTGTTTTATCTTTTCTGCTGTGATCTGTAAATGCACATTTCTTATGTGCAACCACCTCTTGGAAACCACTACTGGGAAGAAGTATTTGTAAGCTTTTCCATGCAGACTTACTGCAGGGTAACAAAATATTACTACTACTTGCACTCACCGCTGGAGAAGCACAGAAAGGAATTGCCTTGAATAAGACAGTCTAGCAAAAACTTAGGATGAAGTTGGGATTCAGATGATGTATTGGGTGTTGGCCTTAAAGATATTCCCTGTCATCTTCAATCCCATCATGATGCCCAGGAAAGATGCAGGATATAAGTGTGCTGTGGGTCAGATACAGCTCACAGGCTCATAGATTAATTGCTTTGCCTCGAGTACCCTGTAACGCTCTACTAGAGGGAAGCCCACCAGAAACCTCAGATCCAAATAATTCACAACACATAAAGAAACTCAAATTAACTTCCCTGTAGCTCAGGCTTACCTCCAGTTGCTGTCTGGCAGATATAATTTGAAATGGACATTGCACTTACCCAAGAATATGTTCACAGAGGAGCCTGCAATAGTCACTGTGAGAACTAGTAATTAATAGCAGAATCTTCCCAGCACTCTTCAGTTGTTTCAGCCACTTTTTTACAGACTCAGGACATCTTTGTAAATATTTGTCTGGATGATTTTTCACTTCTGGGAAATATGTCCCACAGTCTTCTAAAAAATTAAAAGATAATTACATATTATCCAATCCTGCTCGCAAACCACTTAATCCGCACAACAAATATCCTTTTATGTGCAAACAATACAATTTTAAAAAGGCAAAGTTTAAAATTTTCCCTGGGTTGTAACTCAATATAAACCAAAAAAACAATCAAACCAAGGGGATGCACTGTAGCAGAAATAAGTTTGTATGACTTTTCTCTTCTGCTTGTAAGAGAAATAATACATAAATTACAGATTATAGACCTATACAGCAAATGATTACTTCCTGTTGCCTTTGCTCAATTTTTGGATACTCAATTTGTGATTTTAAAATGAGTTTAATGTTTAGAAAGTGGTAAGGACCTGAAATTCCCAAGAACATCTGTTTAGTTACTTCTGACACTGTAGGTGAGCATTGACTAATCAATAATATCCATTTGAATATTTTTGCATTTTTCACAACTAGCACTTTTTCTATGAAAGGTTGATAAAACAAACTGGCAAAACCTCACAGGCATGTGGTATATTATGAACAGACAAAAAAAAACCCAATTCCAATTCCAGCTTCAGTAACGCTCTTTTTGCTGAATATAACAGCAATAGAACTTTGCAAACACACTTGGAATGTAAGATTTTTAAAAGTGTGCAATAACACTAAGTTGGCAGCAAAAGTCACCTATTCATTGAATTTATCAATACCTTGTTATAATGCATAGGTGCTTTACAAGATGTCAAATTAACATTAAACTTACCTTTTTTTTTATCATTCCTATGATCTAAGCCTACATATTTCTTCTGTCCTCAAACCCTCTATAACTAAAAATGTCAAGCTAGTTAAAGGTCTAAAAAGAAATATAATAATTGTAGAGACAGAAATGATACCAAGTATTTGGCTCTCAGTCTGTGTGTGTTATAGTATAATGAACATCATCATAGAAGATTATTTTTCTTCCAGCATTTGTTCTATATGCAACTGTCTGTGGTCAACTTTGCTGAATGATTTAATAAATCCCAGACATTACTTAGCCTTCTGGTATGTGAGTAATGCTATTCTCTAGTTTGAAAAAATCAGATTTAAACCACTTGAACTTTAGCTATTTAATGGAAGAGAACATGTATGTTTGAAACAGTAGTATCAAAGAGAGACTGAAAGATGCCGGGTGCTAAACATAACACTATTTCATAAGTTAGACGTTCAAACATCTACAGATGGCAGGGAAAAAAGTCTCCGAAAAGAAGTTTCGATTTGCCTGTTATCGCTGCAACTAGTCAGGAGGCAAAATGTCTTGTTCTGTACTGTGACTTGACAGATTTCTTCCCAAAAGCTACAGAGTGGACTACTGTATCTGAGGAAAACGTCTCGAACAAAACCTCCCAACTCAGAACCAGGTCACTATTCCAGTTCTTCGTAGTATTTAGGTCAGGCTGTGTAACAGCCTGTACCAGGGGAATATGAGCCTGTTCCTGCAGCAATCATTATGGGATGCCATGACATTTGCCTTGAGAGCTAGCCTTGACAGCTAGCCAAGACCAATGATTTTTTTTGATTAAATGAAGCAAATTTACGAAAGAAGGTTTCCTGTAGTGTCCCCCTCCCCCCTCTTTCCTGAGTGGTGACTAATATTTGCGATGAGCAATGTAGTTTTTAGGAACAGAAGCTGCATTATTTTCTTCAGTATTATCATTAGTAATTATATTTCATATGCTATGCTATGACAACTTTTCTTCTTTGTTGTTTTGGAAAACGCACAACATTACATGAGAATGGAGAAGGACACGAATGACGCAGGCTTGGCATTAGCTCTCACAGGTTCAAACAACTAAAAGAAAGATGGCAATGTTCACAATGATCTATCACTCTTTTTATGCTAAGGTGAAAGTTCTGTTTTATATGAACTTTACTGGTGGGCAGTCTTTTGTTTTTCTTTCCTTATCAAATGCCTCCTACCCTCTGTTGACCATTCTTTGATGTGCAACTAATTTAAAGACTTTAAGTAAATTTAATCAACACTGTCTTCCTTGTCCATACTCTGCAGAATCTGCTACATGATGAACCTATGATATTTGGCCTTTGAGTTACATCTGCATTGGAAAAGGTCAACCACTCCAGATTCAGCATATGAGCTGAAAGAGAGTCTTATTCCAGTTTTCTACCCAGACCTTGAAGCCCAACTGTTAATTGCAGACAAGCAATGAATCAGTTCTTGACACTGAAGTTTGCTTCTGGGCTGTTTGCCATATCAGGCAGAGGCACCTTAGAAGCACCCTCATTAAAGCCATAGGCCAACATGGGAAAGTAGAGTTTAACTTAATTCCTAACATACTATTGCATCTGGTGAAGACAGTTTGATCAAATATATACCTGTAAAGGAGTTTAACCACCAAAGCTTGCAAGATTTTATTGAAAGCCAATTAAAATAAAAACTGAAAACCTTGCTCATCATCCCAGGCCAAGAGCCAGTTTTGCGGAGGACAGCAGAGCCACAGGCACCTTGTTGGCAAAGAGACTTATGGAAGTTTTAACATGTGATGGAGAAATAGCATCATGTCAAGCCTTCACAATCAAATGGAATGATTTGACAGTGAAACATGAAGCATTTTTTCCAAGGGTATATATTACCAATATGCCATATGCTGCACTTTGTTTTTCTAAAGCAGGAAAACCGTAAAAAAATAATAAAGGTCTATTGAGCAAAGAGTCAGTGTGAAATCAGAAAAGAATTAATTTGACCAGAGCCAACAAAGGAAAGGAGAAAGTGAGTTAATGGTAATAAGAGCAATTTTATGGAACTGTCATACAGCTCTGTTCTTGAAAAACAAAAAAGTAATTCTTCAGACAAACACCATTCATGAGAAATAAGAAATGTCTCTAGCCTGCAGTACCTTCCTGATAATGCTTATGAGCCATCCAAGTTTCAAAATTCTCTTAAAAATGGAACTATAAGCATGCTTTAGAGAAGCTTTGTTGATCCACAAATTCACTGTATCAAAGTGACTTGCGGTCACCACCAGATCTACAACTGACAGTTTGCTACCTGTACGCTGCCTAAAATCTCTACATTTTTATCTCTCTGTTTGATGAATATCACTTAACATACAGCTATATGGACATTGACACGTATTAATGTGTACCCCACAAATCAGTGACAGCAAAACAACAAAAATAAAACAAGTGTCCCCACTTTCACCCTGAATGTCTCTATTGTTTTCAGTTACCTGCACGCATGCCAAAGCCTACACTAGTAACCTCTGGCTCTTTGGCAGCGTGAACACTTTCTCAAAATACAAGAGAGCATTTCATAAAAAAAAAATTGAAACAAGAAGACCGTAACAATCAACGTGACAAGCAACATATTTACCCCTTGTGATTGTATGAGAAAACTTAATGATGTGGAGCAGAAAAGCAAACATCTAAGCATTTTATGCACAGCTTTGTAATTTATTACATGTATGTTGCCATGAAGCAAATGCAGTTTTTTCGTTTCCATTCTTGTTACTAAACAACTTGGAGTTTATCTGAAATCTCTGAAATACAGCCTGGGAGAGCAAGTTAGCAACTAGCCTCTGTAGGGATTTATAATCATCTTCCAAATACACTTTCAAAAATAGTAATTGCCTTTGCAGGCCATTAAGTATACTTTCAGAAAAATATATTTCCTTTTTAAGCAGAAGACAGAAATATAAGTGATTAAAAAGAGTTGTCTAGAACTGCCAGATATCCACAAAGTCCTGCCAGAGCCTCTTATCGGATCTACGTCCTGTTGTGTTTTCAAAGCAATATAATTTCCTCTATGTATATTATCAGAGGTTCCCTTAGTGTCCAGTCTGGAGTTTATTTTTTCTTGTCTCATCTGACATTGTAATTTGATCAAGATGTTCTTTGCATCATCTTGCCTTACAGTTTAATTGCGCGTAATACAGCTGTGATAGCAAGTGTGATGGGAATTATGTAGGGCTGGAAAAGCCGAACCCCTACCCCAAACTCAGAAAGAGCCGGTACAATGTTTGCTGTGACTGGCAGAAGTCCTCCAGCACAGACAATATTATCCAGTCCTCAATCCAGCTGCCCTCCTCTATTACAGTTGCAAAATTACTTTATTGAAGGATGCAGTTTGATGCTCTAATGTAATACCTCTATTTGGGGCAAAAATAATTGTGGATTTCTCTTGTGCTTTTTATTACACCACTTCTCTTAGGCAGGGTTAGTCTACACCCCACTGGCTCCGGACTCCTTTGGAGTCAATGTCTGTAAATCCGTACTGCCAGGACACTGCAGTTTTCATCCCTTAACTGTCATTTGGATTATGAAAAAGGCAAACATTCAAGAGGCATGTTTCTGGCAAGGTTTCAGTCCAGAACTAAAACACAGGAACACAGTGTATTTTTCAGTATTGTCACTGCTTCTAAGGGGCACCTACTTGATTGAATTAGAAAGAATTTATCCGCTATTTATACGATTTAGCTAAGCAGAGAGGTATGAGGCTAAAAAAAAATCCCTAGAATTCAGCCAAGAAAAATAAACTTTCAGCTGCCAGTTTGTAGCTTGTATTTAGTGGCTTTAACAACTAACCCTCTCTTACAATGAAAGTAGTATGTGGGAATGTGACTTTTCTCTCTCTTAAATCCAAAGGCAATTTGATAGCTTACCTATCAATACCCACAGCCAGATTCCCTGCAGCTCTCAAGTGAGTACGAACTTACACCTCTTCCACAATTTTTTTCTGAATGCAGGCTTGTAGGTAACAGTTATTAAATGGATAAACAGAGTAGAGCTGAAATAAAGTATTTCTATCAATGGTGGTGCAGACAACTATATTCACTGTACATTGCTTTCGTTGTGGTCTTACAGCACTCCGGGTTTTTAGAGTGAACAGACACACTTCTCTGGCCATCATTGTTGGCTTTTTCTCTTGTCTAAACAAACATGTCCAACAACTAACATGAGCATTCAACAGAAACACAAGAAAAATGCCTTCATTACAGAAGAGTTTACAAAAGCATTTACATTTCAT